TAAAGAAACCTCCATATCTAAAAAACCATAAATAAAATAAATCCCTAAATTACATACAAATTGACTTTAAACACTACAACACAAAATATTGAACGAAAATTACAAAATCACCTTTATATATAATTCCAGATTTCACATATTCTAATAAGATTCTTTTAATATTCTTTGATATATACAGCAGAAAATATTTAAAGACAATTGCAAAACCACCTTTATATACAATTCCGAATTATAAGCTTGCTGGTCGACTTAACCAATTTCTATGATCTTCTTGATCATGACTTGTTGGCGGCTGACGCCTTGGCGCTTGGTTTCCCCCATTTGATCTTGTTCATGTATTTACAAGTGCATAAAGGACCTCGGATCCTGATTGCTGAGGATTTGCCTAGTGACCCCATCAATCCTGTGAACGATATTTTGGCCGGTTGCCCCTTTGGTGTTGTTCTTGCCAAGATTATGCTGTGGATTCTCATATCTCATGGGAACCGAATTTGTAAGCCTCAGGATCTCACCACTTGGGTTGATGACATCGATGTTGATGGGAGGGGATTCTCGTCTGGGCAAGTTGCTCAACAAGCTGTGAACGCTTTTCTTGAATTGCGTGAAGGTCTTGTGGCGCGAGGGATGGAAATCAATATCACTAAATCTGTTTTTTTAGTCGGCGATGCGGCGACTGGGAAGGCGTTGAAATGCCTGCTTGCTTAATATCAGGATTGCCCCCAATTAAAGGATATTATTAAAGATCTAGGGATTGACAATTCCTTGGCTCGCAAGCGTAGGCTTGAGGTGCATCACAATCGGCTTAAAAGAGGTAGAGCTAGGCTTGCCAAGGTGAAGCACCTGCCTGTCAAAAATAGAAAGAAATTTGTCAATTTGTCTGCCAATTCTATTGCCATGTGGGGTCATATGGCGTTTGGAGTGCCCCCCAACAAGCTCCGCGCGTGGCGCTTAAATGTGGCCCGAACAAACAAGTGGGTTCAAGGCCGGGATTCCCTCGAAATTGCCATGCAAATCCATGCTGAAACAACCGATGACCCCTATTATCGCTTGCGTGTGGAGCAATTGCGATCGTGGTTCCAGTTGGTGAGGTGTTGTGGCACTGTGATTTGTTCAGCCCTTTCACGTGCCTGGGAACAGAATTGGTCTAAGCTCCTTGAAATCAAGTATCGCTGGCAAATTGTCAAAGGTCCTTTAGCGGCCACGCAGGCTGTGCTCATGGACCTTGATTGGGATGCTTCCAAGCTTGATCGTTGGTTTGATGATCTTGGTGCTCCATGGCAACTAGATTTTGGTAGAGAGTTCACTTGTCTTGAAATTGGATTATTGGCATCCCTGCGGCGCGGCCAAAATTAGATTGTGTCACATCAATTCTTTGGCGAAGGTTTAGAATCTGGTCTTGATGATTTTCTTCAGAAAAAATATTTATTGATTCTCCTGTGAAAGATATTGCTACGTTGCAGATATGGTGGCAGGATGCATTGCAACACAGCTTAAACTCTCAGAAAAAGACTTGTTTGCATTGCAATGTTGAACAAACCTTACACCACATGCTCTATGAGTGCGCTGCTTGCATTGAGCATTGTGGCCCTGTTCCGGAGGCCTGGATTGGATTGTGTTGTCGCCCTGAGAGCCAGCACTTTTGGTTAAGGGGGTTGGTGCCCCGTGCTTGGACTACTGCTAAGCCAATCTCTTCTGAAGAAGTTGTTCGTGCCGGCTACTTTCTTGACCCTGCTGCTTTTGAGGGGCAAGAAATTTTCTTTGCCACTGATGGCAACGGTGGCCCTTATACCAAAGACCCCAGGCTCAGAAAGTGTGCGTGGTCGGTTGTTGCTGTTTCATGTATTGATGATGAATTTGTCCTTATTGGTAATATCATTGGGCGCATTTATGATGATGGAAACCCCAACACTGTCGTTCGCGCTGAGCTGAGCGCTTTTCTGGAGTTGCCTCGTTTCTTGCTAGATACCTTTGAAGGGTTGGTTTTTGTCGATATTTCTTTCGTAGTCAAAGTATACCTTAAGTTAAAGCGCAAATCCCACAAAATCAGCAATCCGCATGGTGACTTAAGGGCAGGTGTTGCTGCCCACTTGAGCAAGAGAATGCTTCTCACCAAGGTTAAATCTCATCTTATGCTTGTTAAGCATCTTTCTAAAGGGGATGAAGCTTGATCTTAGCGTGTTAATAAATTTGCGGATGAGTTGGCTACAATCATCACTCAATCTGTGGCGCCCTATGCCAAAGCTAAAACTACTGGCTGGATTCTTAATCGAATCACCAGACTAACAACTTAGATATTGCCATATTTTTTGCACGTCTAAATATATCAAAAAAGAATTCTTTCCCCAAGCTTTTGTCAAGCGCTTTAGGGGATGACACTTAGATTCCTTTTAAGAAAATTTATATTGCACCAAATGCCCCACTATCTTAAGACGCTACCGGTTATTATCGGATTCAGAAATTCTTAATACCCTGCCTTATACAAGTGAAGAATTAAAAATCAAGAATGCAACGCCCCTATGTTGCGTAAAATCCATTATATCCATATTATGCATAATAAATATCCTAATCAAAAAAACCATTCTTCTTTTTTCAGCCTTAAAACATTTTTTTTTTTTCACCTCGCCCTTTTTTTTTTCCATCCTCCACCTTTCTTTTTCACCCTCTAAACCTTCTTTTTAATCCTCGAACATTGTTTTTTTCACCCTCTATCCTTTCTTTTTTTAACCGTCCGGGTTAATTTCCGGCGATTCCCGTCGTTTCCGAAAGACTAAAAATAAGGATTTGGCAAGTGTAAAAATAAGCGATAAGAAATAAATCGTTTTCTCCATAGGTTATTTACTTCACGAGCGAAAAATTAAAAAGAAAGAATCGGAGGTTTAAAAAAAAAATCTAAAAGGTAAAAATAACAAAATATAATATAAAAAAAGCAAAATCTTTAAAAAAAATTAAAAAAAATCCAAAAGGAAAAACAAACATAATTTTTTTTAAAAAAATAATCGAAAATAAATTTTCGAACCATTATTAACATTATAAAATATATATGTTCGAACCGTGATAAATTCATTAATACAAAATAAATATATTCATATAGAACCTAAAAAAACGAAATATCGTTCGTTTGTTAACTATTAATTATATTATATATATTCTAATAAAATATTTATATATATTATTTTTAAACATTATTCAAATAATTATTCCAATTTTATAAATAATATTTTGAATTCATTACCTAATTAAAATATTATTCATATTCCAATAAATCAAATAATTCCTAAAATAATTTTAAAATCATCACCATAAAAAAAATCACGTTTACAAATCTTATAATCCTTACCTATCAAATCAATATACACATACATATTACGATATGAATATTAACTTAATTTTTTTGATTAAACAAATTTTGAATTTATTCAATTCAAACGAATTGGATTCAATTCTTGATGCCGATGACGTCGCAAGGCGGGTTTCGCCTCATTCAACAAAAGCTGGTGGCATTGTTGTAGAATGAACAATATCTAAAGTGACAGCCCTGGTTTTATGGGTCGAAAAGCATTCAGCTAAAGTAAGTGCAACTCGTTTGATTGACGCACGACTGACAAGCAATGAATCTTGTCCCTGCCTTTAATTTAAATCAACGCGACATTTGACCTACCACAAAACTTTGTACGCTTCTTTGGAAGTAGCGCATCCACTCAGACTCTCCATTTTCTTGCTGCATCATTCTGAAGCATTTCAGCATGCTGAAAATTGGTTCCGGGTATCTACAAGTTGGAGAGCTCATCAATTGAAGATGAGCCAGCCAGCTAACACTGGATGGGTTGCCTCTGGATTGCCTTTTGTCCGAGGCTTCTAAATGTCATGCTGTGGCCCACATCAAAGGAACGCAAGGCAGATCGCCTATCTAACTTCTCCTTGCTGCGGGCTCTTCTTTCTGCGCAAAACATCAACAGCACTGGTCCACCCATCCGACTGCTGGCTCAAGGACATGATGTGCTCCTGAATACAAATACGCTTCATTCCCATGCCGCAATCCAAAGTGATATAGTATGGGCACGGATTGCGGCAAACAGCCTCTTGTTGCCACAAAGAATCCTAAAGAATCTGTGGCACATGCTTGCAGTCTCGTTGTGTTTCTGATACTCCTGCTAGTGTGTGTGGCAAAAGATCCTCTGGGTTGAAAATGGTCACAAGCTCCAAACTTTTGGGTGGTCCTGGATTCATAGAGCGCTCTTGCATCTCTCTCGACTCTCAAACCCTGATCAGTCCCGAAGCAAAGACCTTCCATCTCGCTGCACTGTGCGCTGAAGACTCTGCATTCGCTTGAAGGGAGTCCGCTTCCTGGAAAGGCGGGAAATACAAGAGCACTAAACACCCTTCGCACCTGAAAAGGGATGTGGGTTTTCAACATGTATGTACTTGAAACTTGGGCCGGTCTGATGTATTCAGCTTAAACTTTAATTGCCTTCCTTTTCAATCCGATTCCTCTGCATATCATATCTGCTTGTAACATACCTCGCGAAAGGAACAAAGAAAGATCTGAAGGTCAGAAAGAAACATTGGAAGAAAGAAGAACGCTTCGCCTTTCTCTTGTCTGTCTCTCTCTCTCTCTCTCTTCATCTCTCCAAATGTGGTCGAGCCACAACTGCACCCGCGTTTTCGGTTTCCCCGGAGCATACAAGTAGGGTGTGCCGCCCTTGGCCTCAGAGAATCTCATCGTGGATCTTACACTACACAAAAACGCTCATAGCGGGAGGGGCCCTTCAATGATACTGCATACATCTACATACTGATGCGCAATATGTACTCCGTACCAGGAGGAACAAACATTAGATTCAGTATTAAGGAATCAGAAAGTGCTTACTACAGGACCCTTATTGATGGGGACCCTTACTTAGCCTTTTCGGCATTAGTGCTGCTAATATCGCTAATATCTTCTAATCCAACTCAGGTACCCACTACTAGCCTTTGCGGTCTCTTTTCCGAATCCTAGTGCATTAGCAGTGGTTCAGTTTTATACTCCACAAATTCGCTGGCAAGCGCAACAAATCGGGTTTCTGAGCATGTCGATACCCAGATTCTTGGTTCCACATTGAAGGCTCACACCGTTGTCTATTCCGAGTGGCCGGTTCAAAGACCGGGACACGGATGCGCTGCTCGCCAATGATCTCGCTACCCTCGGTGATGGTCTTCCAACCAACCAACCTCTCCTGAGAGAGGTGTGGCAGGCGAGCTGTTCCAGTCAGTCCAGTGCTTTTCGCTATAAACGATTAAACGAGGAGCTTCAAAACAGCGGCTATTCGACCAGCACTTGATTCTACAGTCTCACAACAATGCGGCAAAACTTAAACGGAACGAGTCTGCCTTTACGTGAACCCATCTTGCCAGGTTCTGAGGCATACGTTGCCAAGTCTCTTTGGAGGGATCGATCATGGGCATCCAGCCAAAACCAGGTAAATCTCCAGATTTCATCACCTGTGTTCGCCACCAGTTTTTCTCCTGCACATGCCGCTCAAGCTCTGCATCCAAGATTTGTCACATTCGGTTGTCAATTGATCAATATCACCAACAGCGGCATTCATTTGCTCGGGTGGTGACCGGTGGAGCAGTTGTGGGGAGGTGATAGTCACCGCAGGCGGTGTGGAAGGATGCACCTGGCAAAGGGCCTAGTCAATCTTGGGCTTAATGCCGAAATGCCATCGCGTTGATCCTTTAGAACATTTTAGAACATGTCAGTCTAAGCTCTTTCAATGGGAGAGACGCCCAAGCACAATTGGAGAAGTCAACACTCAGTCGTGTTGATTTCTGAATTGGAGCGTCGGTGGTGTCTGTTCTTTCATGTATCAACACATTGATGTCCAGTGTTCCAGTCATTTTTGCTTCCGGTCAAGTCATAGGGTCTTAAAACAAGAGATGGACAAAGAAGGGCAAGGCTGTCTAGGCTCTGTACCTCACCGGGGCCTTTCCGTTACATCTCCTGACCCGGAGAGTCTCTTCGGTCTCCTCTTCGCCACTACGGCTGTCCAAACCCACGGTCCGAACCCGTGCGGTGCCACTGCCCACATACACCAGCCGACACTTCACGCCGTATTGGCGGCAGGCACCTGAGACAGTTCAGAAAACTAGACCTCAGGAGGAACACGCATTTGGCTACTAGGAGCAAGGACGCTACTAGGGGCTCCTGGCCGTACTACTAGTAACAAGAAGCTACTAGGGGCTCCTGGCCTTACTACTAGGAGCCTTACTACTTAATCGAATGAGTCAGAGGCACCTGCACATCATGTACCTTCTTGAAGTCCATGTGTGGATCTCATCACCGGCTAAGTGACCAAAACCGTAAACCAAAACAAAAACATCGTTGTGTCACTTAAGAGGTCCGCTAAGAAGTTATTATCAATTATTCAATTCATCGCGATGGCTTCCAACCGAGCAATGGCCTCCAACCTAAGAGCGATGGCGTCCAACCTACTAGCGATGGCCTCCAACGCAACAATTATTGTTTGAAGATCGTTGGCAAGTGGCGCAAAGCTTCTGAATTCGCGTCCTCGCTGCAATTAGATGTGACAGAAGGACATCTTCCGAAAGAGCAGATCAGCACACATACGCAACAGTTCCAAAATGTTCCGAAACTTGCTTGACATGTGGATTCATGGTCATCAATCTCAGGACTCAAAACCTGACCTCGGCTACCTCTGCTCCCTTTCATTTCACCTATGTCAATCTCCTGTTGTGAGAACTTTCCCCAAGCAGCAGCCCAGGGTCGAACGCCTGTCTTTTGGCTCATTTCACCCACCGCCAGTGCCTCACGGTGATTCACGGCGACTTGGAGCATGGACATGGAAAAACAATCCACATGATGCCGCCTTGTTGTCTGGCTTCTGCAAAAACTCGGCATAGCTTGGGCACTCAGAGCTCCATTCGATCCCCTCCAGCAATCCAGTCGCCCATTGTGGCAGCCCATCCTCAGATCTAGCACAGTTCCAGGTACTCAGGCCTACGGCCTACGTTGATTGCGACTTTTATCAATTTGAGGGAGGTCTTTGTCGGCCACCACTGGCTTTTGGATTTGGATGGATTGTTACGGAGTTGAGGACTCATGAATGAATCATACCACTGCTTTGCACAGCCCAAGAACAAAAAACACTGGTGAGGAAACTGCAACTTGGGAAAGACAAGTCTGCTGCGAGCTAACCTATATAAGATTGATTGATCCTTTTTGGGGTGGCTTCTTTAGTATACTTGCCTCAACTCTGATCTTCTGACAGAGCTATACAAAGACTTCCGACTTCTTCGTGGTGCTGACCGAGTGGAGGCAGTCACACGGAGTTCCTAGAGCTACTAGTAGCGTTCTTGCTCCTAGTATATAGCGATGCCCTTTGTCCTAGTAGCGTCCTTGTCTCGTGTATCTTGAAGCCTAACAATACAGCAAAGTCTCCTCTGACGATCCATCAAAGAAGGTTGGGTCTCGGAGCTCTTCCAGAACCTGATAAGCATCCTGCACCTGACCACAAGAGAAAGTGAAAAAAGGACCAAACACTTCAATCCTTCAAAAACACATGAATAAAACACTGCCTGCTGCTTACTTCAAGCTTTGCCCCAGCAACCAGTCTGCGTCGATTCACTTTCTACGTTTTCTAAGTCTATACAAATGGGACCTACAGTAAGTGGCTCTCCAATGAGAGTAAACAAGAAACACGAACAAATCACAGCATATGTACCTTATTTTGTATTTTCCTTTATCTTTTGGACCTTCAAACATGAGGTCTTCGACCTACGTAATCTACAGGCATAGGCCCTAAGCCCCGCGGCCTTGCGGAGCATGGTCCCATCATCTCCAGTGACATCCGGGTGAACCTGCCTGTCGACATGAAACACAAGTGAGGTACATGTGTGAGGTTCTGAAACCCGGATGAAACAAAGTCAAAACCCAGTCCAAAGTAGATGACCATCTCTCTACTGATCCACTACAACAATATGTTTACCGTGTCATACATGAATATCATATACTACACCGCGTGTTTCCTTCAAAATCCCACTGCTCTTTTCACCAATACATACCAATACAATATGAACCGTCTTGGCCAAGCAAATGTAGCGTACTGCGTACTGGGTGCCTGATCCTGTCCTTGAAAGCCTTCTTGATCTGCTCCTGAGACAGTCACTCTTTATTCTTTTGGATGCATCTAGCTGCCATGATTCTAATTTCAGCTTGGACCATGATAAACCTTGACAATTCAACAAACGATGGTGAGTCCTGCAACACTTGTCGGGAGCTGCTAAAAGCGTTCCCTCCAAAATGTTGGATCATTTACATTGACATGCTCATTCTATTCTGCTCTTCCATCGAATCTAGGTTTAAAACACATGATGAATAATATGTCTTTTGGATGCCACAGGATACTATCCCTCCGCTCCACCTCCTGACGGTCCTGTCCTTGGAAGCGGTCGGCTGAAGCTTCAGCTGTCTCCAGGCTTCTCCCACTGTCATTCGGGCGAAGGTTCTGGCAGGCCTGTGCGGGCTGTGTGGGCAATCCCTTCATTGGCAGGCAACGTTTGGCACTTGGCATACCAGTTCTCATTTTCCTTTGTAAACAGATAGGAATATCTGCGTTTGTTGAAATGAGAATGCACACTCTGGGTATCCCGTGGCCGCTGTAACTTTAACAGCTATCCAGTCCAAGCCTCCAGGTTGTTGCTACACAAACTACACAAGCTGCAGCAGTGAATAGCCAGCGCCTGAGGGATCAAACGTGCAGCGCCGGCCGATCAGCTTGCTTGATGTCCAAGGGAAGGCTTAAGCCTTCTGTGCCACACAAGCTTTGTGTGTATGTACTGCATGTTCTTTAAATCTAATAGCGATGGCCACCAGCCTAGTAGCGATGGCCTCCAACCTGGTAGTGATGGCCTACGACGGCCTCCAACCCAATAGCAATAGCCTCCAACCTAATAGCGATGGTCTCCGACCTAAAAGCAATGGCCTCCAACCTAGCAGCGGTGGCCTCCAACCTAATAGCGACGGCCTCCAACATAATAGCGATGGCCTCACACCTAAGAGCGATGCCCTCCAACGTAAGAGAGAGGGTCTCCAACCTAAGAGCAATGGCCTCCAACCACGTAGCGATGGACTTTAACCTAAGAGCGATGGCCTCCAACGTAAGAGAGATGGTCTCCAACCTAAGAGCGATGGACTTTAACCTAATAGCGATGGCCTCCAACCTAACAGCGATGACCTCCAACCTCGCAGCGATGAACTTTAACCTAATAGCGATGGCCTCCAACCTATCAGCCATGGACTTTAACCTAATAGCGATGGCCTCCAACCTAAGAGCGATGGC